TCCAAGATGAGAGGCAGGCGCCGCCGTGTAATCTTAGAAGCCTCGTAAAGCCCCAATGACGCTCAAACATTCACTGTGAGGTTAGATCGTGAGACCCTACACAATCTTAAATTAGCTTTGCTTCAAAGAAATCCAGGAGTATCGGGAGCCAAGTTCCACATTGTGTAGCCGAACAAAATATAGCGGAGGTATAGCCAAATATTGGCGCAGCCCAACGTTGGGGGGGGGGGGGTGCGGCCAAAAAAAAGAGGTCCCGCTCAACTTGGGGGGGGGGGGGGCTTGGCCCCAAATAGATATTAAGTTCCACCCCTGGGCATTCCGCGCTTACCAGGATTGTGATCAGGCAGCACAGCTACAGCATCAGTGGACTTGACAGCATCTGCCGCAGCCTGAAGAACCTGCGTCAGCTTTCAAGTCTTCTGCAAGATGTACGGCGCCTAAATCCGAGAAATCCTTACTTGTGCACCTGCCAAAGCTTCTCCTCTGGCAGTGGCTGCTCAGAGCGAGCCTGATATTCGCGAATGAGCTCTCTCACACATCTTGACAAGCACGCGACGGAGATGAAGAACTCTGTCAGTTCCAGGTGCTGCAAATCAACTCCCGGGCCGATGGATACCAGGAGATGATCGACTAGGAGCGAGGAATGATCGCAGAGCCATCCCGGACCGGAACCCTGTCAGGGGGCACAGTCGGAAGAGACAGGAAGAGAGCTTTGTGTGCGTGGCTCGTAACACTGAGAAACCATGCGATCGATGACATCAAAAGTTGATTTTCGGCCACCGCGCTAATGGCATGTAGTTGTGGCACGTGTACGCCGGCATCAGTAAGATTTACCTAAGCCTATGGAAGCAATGGTACTGCAGCATATAATTTACCTGATCTAATTTAGTTTGAGTGCCACGTTTAATCAATCTCACAAAACCAACTGTTCTCGCAGTCCTGAAACTGTGACATTCCGCAATATAAATTTGTTTAAAAAAAACGGTTTTCTGTACGCAAGGACATAAAGCCATCAGAATACACCAAGATGAGACGGTTTCACCAATGGTGCTTACTACTAATATAAGTAACTACTTTCACCGCGTAAATAGCTAGTGTGCAGGCCAATCTATATAGTGTGCAATTTTGATCACCGCGGGGTAGCTCCAGCTTGCTTTACGTGGAAAATTTGTGGTAGCTCTTACATTCCTCTCTCTGTATTTCTCCGGTATGACCTTTTGGACCTGTTCTTGACACCGGCATAACTCGACTCGGCATGCCAGTGATGCACGGCATACGGCATACGGCATACGGCATGCCAGAGGTTGTCACGTTGAAAAGAAAACTGATCATTTGGGCGGACAGCTTCGTGGATTTCTTGGCACTGCGTCAGCGCTTGTTGGCACTCAGACACAGGGAACCGACACCATTGAAACGACTTGGTATTTATGTGACAATGTTCCAAACGTCCTCTCGGTAGTAACGTCCTAAAGGGAGCATCTCACCTTTATGTACTTTTCACTTATTGTTAGATCGGACGCGTACGAGTTGATAAGCAATACCAGTTTTCTGGAAATCCTTACGAAAACCTCAGAGTTTTTATCTGAAATTGCCGTCTCTGCGGGAGAAAACTCATTTGAGACCCTGCTAACCATTATGAAAATGATACATTTTATCTGCCGTCTTGCAGTGTCTGTGATCTGTACTGTTTGCAACACCCAAAGGTGCCAAAATGTCCGTGCAATACATCCTGAAAAGCTTGAAACACTCTGTTTAGCCAAAAAGATAAGGCCATTATCATGAACATAAAGCCATTATCCCGCGAATTCAAAGAAACGTAATACTATGGCTTTAATTTCTCCCATATGGCGTTTACCACAGTGGCTCTTTTCGCGGTGCAAGTTTGGCTTTGGGAATGGGGGCATCACATGGCCAATAATGACGCGCTGGTTCAAACTGCAAGCAGTGCGTCTCTCGGTAGAGACCCTTGCAGTCCGATAGACCAATCACAAACGTTCCTTTGTTCGCACTAGTGGAAGTGCGCACGGCGGTTGTCATGACGGCCGTGGTCGCGACTTCGGTGAAGAGGCGTGATGCTGTCACAAAGCGTTGATAACGTTGGTTTGAGGTTCCACTAGAGCATGTTTTTGAAATATTCCCTAAAGGTGGAACACTCCCCTTGAGCTACGAAATTGTCAAAAGTGGCGTTATCAGATCGTTCGTTGTTAGATTACCACTGCATTCATTTTCATCCACGCGTCTAGTTACATATCTCAGCAGATAGGAGTGGATGTCTGCGATTAGCGGGTGCTGCGCCGTACCACAACATATGACTTTCACAGACCTTGCAGTCTAAGCCAGTGGCGGAACTAGCCGACCTTTTGCGGTCGTGCCCCACCTCCTCTCCCTAGAAGCAACATTATAGCGAATTAACTTTTGCAACAATCTGCAATGATATCCTCGATATGCGTATATGTTGAGGAGACAAATTTGTTATTAGTGGTTATTACATTTAAGACGTCCGTGGGGCTTTTGAACATAAAAATGACCCATCGATGCATGCGAAAAAGATCTTGAGGCCATAACGGTCCTCGCATGTAAAAGAGGCCCTCTATAGCTACGAAATGGGCCCTTGTGCCTGGAAAGGATCCTATGACCCGATCCCCCCCCCCCCCCTGGTCGAAATCTGGGCAACGGCCGTGGTCTAAGCATTCTAGCTTTCCTCCTGCCATTCCATGATGTGTGCCCAACAAACCCATGCACTTTTACCGTCACAACATGTTGCATGCAATGTAGTTTTTGCATATGTTATCCAGTCCTAAAACGCTGACATTACCAACGTCATGGCCTTTTCACTGAAATCGCATGTCACCTCCATTCAGCATGTTTGCATCTCATGCTAGATAGGAAGTTCTGGATTCCCTGTTGCCCCTCCCTCCATTTTCTTCACTTACACTGCAAATCTCCCAACCTCACATTAAAGACCATAATGGCGTGTATGCCATGAAGCACTCCGCGCTACATGGCGTACACGCCATTATTACATCTTGCGCACATGCTCCCCTCTCTGTTTCTTCACCCTTTACTCGGGTCTATAAATTACTATCCACGCCCTACCTTACCACAATCCTCTTGAGACGCGATTACCTGCAACTGCAGCGCCAGACGTGCAGGCGCGACCAGGCCAAGGCCCAGACCCAGACCCAGGCACAGGCACAGGCACAGTGCTTATTGCGGCACATCCCAACGGCTCACCAAACGCTGCAAGCGTCTCACAGCAAACGACAGCGAGCAACAGAACAGCAACACCGGAAGCAGCGCCACACACATGAGTCGGTACCTCAGCGAGCCTGCAGACGGCACGGGGTACGACGTCGCCGGCCAATACGACACACGGCCGGCGGTGCCGTCGCAGGGTCAGCAGTGGCGGGAAGGTGACAGTTCTGCTGCATGCCCTCCGCTGCTGCTCTGGCTGCTCGGGTTGGCAGCATTCAAAAGAAGAATCCTCAGATTGTGATGGTATCATTTCCTGCTTGTTTTTACACGAGAAGTCCCTGTTTCTGTTCTGTCGCATAGTTTTTGGCAGCGACTATTCAAAGTATTTATTTCTTTGTCTGAAATGATCCAAAAATATTTAGTCATTAGAAGAGTAGTGATCAATGGAAATTATCTTTAGTCCGTTCTAAAAGTTTGAGGTTTATGAGCCACGGAATCAAATGAGAAATTTTGATCACATTGAGCCCGGATGTTAGTTGAACGTGGTAATTGCGGACGCGAATGCCTTTCCAGTCGTTCAAAATGTATCCCTCGTCGTGGACTTGACCTTTCAGTATGAAAGATGCTGGGGCGAGTAAATATTTTTGGGGAAACTATACGCTCTTTTTGCGGAATTATACAGGCAACAGCTACACGAGTTTTTCTAACTTCTTTTCTCCCGGTGCACAACTTCGTCTATCGGACTTATCCATGCCAGTCGGATCACGAACTACGTAGCTTTCTAGTGAGGAATGCGTCTCAACATAACTTTCACTGAGGAGCCGCAGAAATGTGCGACTGAGGAAATGATTTCAGATGCTGGAAATACATTTTCTTCTTATTTTACGCCTCATTAGCAGCTATTACAGACTTGAATAACCATTGCGCATCACGCATCAACCAATATCCACCATTGAGCATCAGTAACTAAATCGGAACTAGTGCAGCGATTTGGTTTAGCCTTGAACGGTTTTCACAAACACAGCAAAAATGTATGGTTACAAATTTAAGGTGGATATTTACATAAAACGTTTGGGTTAAAAGGCATAGTTTTGCTAGATTTTCTTCCCTTGAGGAGGGCATATTTTACAAAGGACGCATATCCAACGGATCCCCGCCTAGGTAACACACAGTTCCCACCTGAATATGTTGAGCTAGGCAGCAAGCACAGAAAAAGATGTTTTTGGCTCAGTTGTGCACTTAATAACCCTGAACGTGTCGATACAGTTCCAGGTTATGACATGGATGGGGCAGCGACCAATTTTGACAGCCTGTTGTTGCAGGTTTCTATCCTGAATTTTAAGAAGGTTTCCATTGCGTATGTGGAGCTAGAAGACTGCCAAGTAGGATGTCAAGTAACATAAACCTCAACTGATCATTTGACAAGGTTCTGAAAATATTCACGAATCGAGCAGATCATTTGCTCCTAAATGGCGAGCAAAGAGCTATGCAACGATATTTTCCCTCTTGTCTAGCCTATCACCATGTGCTATAGGTTAAAAAGTCCCTACCCCTGACGGGCAAGCTACTGCTGATCCCACCAGTGACATTGTTTGAAAAAACCTCGGCGTCAGGGTGACGATGGGCCGGAAGCGCATCTGCCGCTTGCAGGGCTCGGGTCACTCTGACTGGCACGCCCCAGCGGGGCGCTTCCGGCCCCAGGCGGGACTGGCCCGCGGCAAAAAACGCCCAGTGGTCCGGCGATGACTCGGCATGGGAGGAGTCAACGGCATAAAATGGGCCACCTCCGCACCACCAGCGTCACTGCTGCGCCATGGCGTCCCTCGTCCGCCCCGCCGTGCTGCTGCTCGTGCTCGCCGCGCTCTGCGAGGCACGCCGTAAGCGCCGTCGCGTCCGCCCTCTCGCTGCGGACCGAGCTAGCATAGTTGGCTCGCCCCTCGCTGCTGGTTCTGGTCCGCTCGTCACCAAGCTGGCCTGCGGCCGAATCAACCGTATCCTCACGAGTTTAAGTTTTTTCTTCTTCAAATAGTAATGCATGATGACTAGGCTGCCACGTCTGATCATATTTTTTTCTGGGAAACACGGGATAGAATAGACTACGTATTAGGTTGACTGTTTTGGAAAATTGCTCCAAAATAGAGCCATTTTGGGCAGATTAATGGTCATGTCTTACTATGTCATTATCATGATTCCAACAATCGTCTATTCTTTATGTGCGTCTTTTCGTTGCACCTTGGTGAATCGTAACGCCAACTTCCCCTTTCCTTTCGGTATAGATAAACCCGAACTCTGTGAGCCATATCATCGTTCCTGGCGTCCTCTCCGGCACCAGCGTTATGCTAAGACCATGAACCCTGTCCGCTTAATACCATCACGTCTACAAACGTATGCGTTGCGTTAGCTCCAATGCCTCCCCCTATTGACCAGCGTTACCATCAGCTGCACTTATCGGCGTCACCGTCAGCGACGGCCTAGGTGGTCGCACCCAGCGATCCCTGACGGGGCTGAACTCGCCCACCGTTCCTGGCGTGTGGCGATCCGGGCAGTTCTTCAGCCGTCGTTTACCAACCCCGTCAGGTGGCGGCAGGCGCAGGCTTGGCGAGAACAACGGCATGGGCATGGAAGGCAAGGGCATGGATTTCGACCTGGAGGCTGTCGGCTGCGTCCCTGACGACTTCAACGCGTTCGACATGAGCGCCTGCAACGCGACATCGCAGGCTGCCGGCACCGGCATGAAGGGTCTGCTGCAGTGTTTGGCTGAGAGGTGAGGCCGTTGCTCCTAGGCCTGGTGATCGACGTCGCCGGCCAGGCGTCGTGAGGTAGCAGTCCCCTGCTTTCAGCGGTTGAACGATCTTCGAGTGGCGTGTCTTGGCGATGGTCTGTGCCCGGTGATACGCTGTGAGTCACCGAAGCGAAAGGTATTCGCGTTTGGATAGCCCGGGCTGACTGAAAGTTGACAAGGGCCCACCGGTGAATCATTGCTAAAAAGGACCTTTCTGCAACTGCGAAAAGAATGTTAGGCTAGTGATTTTGAAGTTTCCTTGCACGCTGCACTGACCGTGCAGTTGCACAAGCCGAACTGTGCGAGCTTCCCATGGTCTGCAGGTGACAGAGGTGTCGTCGATTTGTGAGTGCAGGAAGGCAAGCGGATTATGACTACCTTCCCTTGGTTATGCTACCAAGCGACGCTTGTGTAGTTACTCCTGCAAAGCGTTTCCCACAACATGGGCAAGACATCTCAGCGCTCCACTGTCGTCATGTGTGAGCTCGGGTGCCGTTCATCCGCGACCCATTGCCCGGGGTTTCAATGCTGATCGACTGTTGCCCGGTGTTCCAATGCTGATCGACTGGCGAACACTTGTGAGCTCGTCTTGACATTCGTCCAAACGCCGTCCGTCCTTGGCCAGGTGGCGGCTCCCGACGGTCGACGGGGTGAGGGGACAAGACTATCATTCCCTCTATTGAGCTCTGCCTTCGTCTGATCTCTGCCTCTGCCTGACCTCTGCCTCTGTCTGACCTCTGCCTCTGTCTGACCTCGCCTCTGTCTGACCTCCGACCTCGTGTGACTCGTGGCTCGGTATGAAAACTATTGCCTCTCGTTTCAGCCTTAACCTTGTGGACGACCAGGGCCTGAGCGACAGCGGCCGGGACGAGCTGCTGGACTCGCTCTCGGACGACGAGCAGTGGCAGGAGGAACAGCGCCAGCATCTAGAGCTATGCGAGGAGATGATGAGCGCCAACCTAACAGTGGAGCAGCAGGGCGTCTACATCATGGCCTGCTGGTACAGCCTCAGCACCTTCGAGTGCAAGCGGTCGAAGATGGAGGAGCTCGGTGCGTCCGTGGATGCCGAGAACGGCGGCGATGTGGGCCAGGCGCTCGTCTTCATGGCCGAGGGCCGCTGCCTCAAAGGCCTGATGAGTAGAGACAGCAAGGAAGCGTTCAAAACCTGCAAGGGTGAGGTTGGTCTGGACTTTGGCGTACTTAAAGACGGTTTCGAGTACGCTGCCAGCTACCTGTCGGCCATCCAGAGCGGCGACAACAACGTGGGGCCACCATCCGCCGACAGCGTGGACGCCGTTAACAACCAGTTGGAGCTGATGACGCAAGCAATCAACTGCACCATGCAGGCACTCGGCGAAGCTGACGGCAACGAGGTGAACTTTGACACGATGCGCGCCAACCTGGATGCCATAGAAGCGCCAGAGTGGATGAAGCGGACGGGCCAGGCCATCCTAGACGAGTGCGCCGGCCAGGAGGACACCAGCGTGACCGGCGTCCTCACTTGCTGGCACATGTCCGCCGCCTACGCTTGCAGCTCGGTCAAGGCGCACGGACTGGCCCTCATGGAGCCCGGCCAGCGGCCCGGCCGCGGCGGTGGACGCAGGCGGGGCGGCCGACGCGGCGGACGCGGACGCGGCGGCGGACGCAACGGACGCAGACGCGGCGGAAATGGTGGCGGCCGGAACAACCGCCGCCGCAACAGGAATCAAGGTTAGACACCGGCTCTGGCATCCCGTGCCACGCCACGCCATCCGCCAACTACCGTGGATGCAGCAGTCCGACCGACCGACCGACAACTACCGACCAAAGCCCCTGCGTGCACCATTGTTGCTGTCCTCGCGCCTCCGCGCGCTCACTGATTGCGGCATTACGACTGGATGATGCACTATAGCTTATGACGTGATCAATGTACTATTCTATCAAACAAAGACGGCTGCACCCATGCTTCGACTGCTCTCCGGAATCACATTTAATAAAATTGCATCGTATCAACTACCTTCACGCTCTTGTCACGCGTGCCAAAGGAAACGAAAACATTGCTAATGAATCTGACATGCCAGCCAGACCAGACTACGTTTATTCATCCAGGTAACCATTCAAGCAACTTGTGTGACGTGGAAAGAGTGAGATAATACCAGTGGTATTATCACCATTATCACTATGTGCCGAAACAGGTGGGGCCAGAGGCATAGGCGCAGCCGAGACCATGGAAGGCCGCCTTCCCCACCTTTCAGGTCCTTATTTTTGGCATATTAGCACCCTAGATGGCTCCTGACAGCAGTGACGTAGCCACAGAGGAGCTTTTGGAGTACCGCCCCTCTCGTTCCTCTTCTGAGCGTAGCGGGGCCTCCTGGGGCCGAGTATTTCAGTTTTTTGTAATTTATGACGCCCATAAGGATCCTTAAATATAAAAGCGGGTCGTCAACGTATTTAGATCGGATCCCAAGCCTAAACAGGTCCAATGCATCAGCGGTGCAGCCAGAGGGTCGTATGGGCCGCATTCCGCGACCCTACGAAACATGAAACGGCGGCAACGGTAGCGGTTTTTAACATAACCGGTTCAATTTTTACTTTTTTGGTGAATATTATATGGTTTGATCGGTTTACACCCTCATTATTAGCCCCGTCCGAAGAAAAATCCGCTAAAAAGTAATTTGTCTCTAGGACATTTTACCATGGGACACTCAAAAAGTCGTTTGAAAGCAATTGGCCATGCATGTTATCAATAGCATAAAAGCAAGCTGCACGTAAACCAAATCTGAAAACTGGGTGGAGCAATTAACATTTTTGTCTCTCTCTACCTTGTCAAATAGCGGGTGTGGGGGGGACATAGACTACCCGCCCCCCCCCCCCTGTTTCTACGCCCATGTCGCATGGGGCGTGTTAATATGAAGATGCACCGTAATTTTTACCATGAGAGGAACTGTCGAGTCGGTTTGTGCCGGTGGCTCATCTTTAATATTGATACCCTTCATTTGACGCGCCCTGCGAAAAGACTTGTAAATGGGGGGAGGCCTCTGAAGAATCGCCTTATATTAATATTTTCCGCATTGTAATCTCAGACAACAGCAGCCGGAGGGAACTTCAGCCGGTTCCGTTTCGTCAGTGTCCACAACAGCCTCACGATCCTTTCCGCGCATACCCGGGGTAGGGGGGAGGGAACGCGTCTCCTCCAAAGCCGTGTCCTGCCCCCCAGCACCCCCCCCCCCCCCCCCGGCGTCCGCCGGAGCGCACGTCAGCCGACCTGCGTCAGAGGCGTCACTACGCACTAGCAGCCGGAGGAGCTCGAAACGATCTATTACGGCGGCCTTACATTGATGCTCTCACCTTAAGCTTTGATATCCCGAGTCGGCAATACCCCAACCCACAAACCAAGTCATCTTATTGAAATGGAGGGGTCGGATGCCTGACGAGTCCGGAAGACGAAAACGCCCGCGCACCCCGAATAGCCCTAAACCGGAAACAGCACGCGAGCCTCAAGGTTTGAAGACGTGTGCCCGGCGCCGGAGTGAGTGCGGGTAGGAAAGGCCGAGCCCTGTCCCGTTCCAAGGTGGAGGCCCGTGATATGTCTTATTCCTTGCAATGTCGGCGTGTGTAAGCGAGAGCGTGCTTACCGGCAAGGGTTAAAGCGGTGATGCTGACAGTGTTGACTGGCGTTACCAACTCGCCATGGAAATTATCCCTGATGTCCACCGCAAGGTTCCAAACTACTTATACTAAGGAAATCCATGCATTCTGCATAATTTGGGCCTGCCATTTATGAACATAATGTATTTTTTGCTGATTCGGCCTCTGGGGCTTTAGGGCTTTGGTGAAAACGTTTTGGTCTCCGTAGCAGCTTTTTTCTGGGAGGGATTTCGACACCCTAGCGGCCAGAGTCGCAGTGGTTGCTGAGTGCAACCCTGCAAAATTGTAGCAATCACGTCCCAGGCAACTCTGCTACCTTTTGACGCTAAATGTTTAGTCTGAATTGTTCTTCATTCTGTCTCATGCTAGGTACAATCCCTGTCTCATTATTGTCCCATTATATCCCGTCATGTCCCATTATGTTCCATTATATCCCATTCTATTGCCAATGTTTTAAAGAAATCATGGCATCTGGCACGACAGCAGTTGGCATCGTTGTGCGACCCAACAGTTTTGCACAGGGCTGAACGTGATCAGCTGCACTGCCCTCTAAAAATTATCCACACTTCAAAACAGTGCAAAACTCATCAGCCTTCAAACCGGGGTCGCGTTAATAGGAGGATGAGGTACTTACCCCCCCCCCCCCCCAGAAAAATACAGATGATGGGTTTGAGTGACGTGAAAACAAGTAAAAAATAGGTAATAGCCATTTTTCTAGTGCTATGAATACATTTTATATGAAGCCGCCAAAGCCAGCTGTAACATGATAATTTTCTGAAAAGGAATTCACGTGCATTTACTTCTAATCAACAAAAACATGTTTCTGCTTCAAAAGTAAATGGCGATGATGTGAAAGGTGCGGGTTGTTGGTACAGTTAGAGCGCCTTTGGTACCGGGGATCAATGAGCTTGAAGAGGTCTGAGAATAGTTCAGCCCTGAGACGATGGAAGCGAAGAAACGTACCGTACATTTTTGAGAAAATGTTGCATCAACCCTGCGGTTCTACGTGGAAGTAGGGAAACATCGCACTTGTCCCCATCCCCTCGAATCCGAGGATCCACTGTCTGTACATCAGTCTCACTAACGATGGAAGGCCAGTCAGCACAGAAGGATGCCATCACGTAAACGACATGGCCATCGAGAAAAATGAAAGCATTGCCTCCATCTCAACGACTTAATGGTGAGCTCTGCCTTCCCTCCTCCTCGCCGTCTCACCGTCTCACCTCCTCCTCCTCACTGTCTCACCGGCTGTGGTCAGTGCGGGGCAATGGTGCAAGCATAGGATGCCTAAAATCACGCGATTTACTTAAAAGTTGAGAAGTAAATTGCTGGCACGACCCGGTATTCAGAGGTCGGGTACTGAAGTTCTTAGAATGGGACATTACATAGGACTCTTCTGCTTTCCCTTCAGGCAGATGCGATCATATGAGCAGCCTAGATGTTAATAACATTTCATATCACTCGATTGGAAATTGCTCGCCAACGAAGCTATCCCAGCGCACCGCATGTGATGTACGATATTCGAAAATAAAGGTAACTATAACCATGATAGCAATGGCTTTCATAGGCACCCAGGTATCTTTCATCATTATGCCTTCAACATCATATATATATATATATATATATATATATATATATATATATATATATATATATATATCTCTCTCTCTCTCTCTCTCTCTCTCTCTCTCTCTCTCTCTCTCTCTCTCTCTCCTCTCTCTCTCTCTCCTCTCTCTCTCTCTCTCTCCTCTCTCTCTCTCCCTCTCTCTCTCTCTCTCTCTATATATATATATATATATATATATATATATATATATATATATATATATATATATATATATATGAACAGCGTATAAGGACATTCGAAGCTGCTCTAGATACATTTGATAGCACAGCATTGTTGGTAACAGTATGATTTGTTCTTCAGAATCCACGCACGCACATATGAGGCCCCTTTCCGGACGAGGGGTCTCAGAGGCTTACTTTTGGTAGAATAAAGTCTAAACCGCGCAAGGCATATCGGTGATATTTTCAGCAACTGAACTTTCAAAACTTTACAACTTTTTCAATGTATGAAAATCTCATCTTTCATCGATCACGATTCATGACACCTTTGTCCAGGTGATATAAATCCCATTTCCTACTAAGGCTCGAATGATGTACATGTGTCGTAAACTAACTATTTCAACCGACTTTTTTAACTGACTTGATGCTTCTTGTGGTACCAAGCGATTATAAGATGCTTTGAAATAAAATTCGGTAAGTTATGAGGGTCAAGCCATGGAAAATGTATCAACTGAAGATATTTGTAGCATGTCTGATAGGACAGCATCAGTGCATGATTTCGTGCGTCAATAACTATAGGCACCGATTTCTCGAGTGTTACAAGACGTTGTTCCTGTTCATTAAACTGGATCAACCCACCAAATGCCATTACAATTGATGTTCATTTATATTAATCTGATGCAATATTGTGCAAGCTATCAGACACATTTTCCGCATAGCTCTAGCACGTAACTTCATTGAAGCAACGTGGGGTTAAAGGGAGCGAGCCGAACAAAAATGCTGTGAATTTAGATATGCGTTAAAATATGGCGTGCTCTCCGCATGGACTCGGTGTCTATCATTTTCTAGTTCTATTATTGTCCTAAGGCTGCATAATAATCCCTCCCCCCCAAAAAAAAATTGACGTTAACACGGGCGCAATCTGAGGCGAGTGCCGCCTAGTGGTACTTCATTATGGTAGAGCCAAGGTTCTAACATAACGAAACGAGGTGGACCGTTACGGTGTGACGGGTAGAGTGCGGGGTAAAGCGTCACGGTGTTAGGTTCCGCCCATGACACGACGGCCATAGTCAAGCATTGCAGGTGTCAATATTTTTTTTCGCTCAGGATTTGTAGAGAGGAAAACCTTTTAATGATAGCTTGTTGCTTGTTCCAGAAAAGCGAAATGAACTATGACAGGAGCAATACCATTTACACCACGGGCGGCCTACTGCGAGTCGGTTAAGTTGGAAACAAAAGCCAAAGGATTTACCAACCGGACACGGTACCCAACTCACGGGAATGCGGATAACTGACATGCGATCGCATTCAACAGTTCCCAAACAAGACACGGTGGGCTGATCACCAATATCCGGGACATTAGGTGGTCCAGGTCACACCAGGCGCAAATGAATAACGTTCCACGAATACGCACGGCCCCAGGTGCACTGTTCCCTTCAAGCACGCTCCAGAGGGATTGATCGGCTCAGTGTAGCCCCAGGAATACACGTAGCAGGCTAATTGGACCGCGCCAGAGAAACTAATGGAACGCTTGATAACGCATCACCCTGATGACGTGAGCGCAAGCGAGCGCGGACCGAATACAATGGCACAGACCATCAGATCTGCAGAGGGGTGTTGAACATACGCGATCCCTTGTATGCGTGCAGATAGTCCTTGGCCACGGGTTACATATGTAACAAAGTAGCCTTCATTTTCATGGTTTTCATTTCTAGCCCTGAGTCTTCTATTTTCTTCCATTTTATATGCCTGACGACATAAATTTCAATATTTTTGGCGTAGAAATTCAGGCTATGACAAGAGATCTAAATTGCTCTTATTTCCAAGTTTCTGGCGTTGAAGTATATGTTTTTACCATGGTTCTTTTGCTTCTGCCAAGAGGCAAGTCTGCTGTCAGCAGGTATTTGTTATTGCCATCCTTGTTTCAGTATTGGCGATTTAGGAAATTCCTGATGCATATACATGTCACGGCTGACATGGCCTAAACACTATTCTGCCACGGTAGATATGCTGTAGCGCATGACTTTCATCCCATTTAGATAGCCAAATCTATCGGGGTCACCAGATCAGGACCAGCCTTAGAGAAAGATCAGACCAGGCCCACCAAAGCCAGGCTCACCCGGCCCACAACAGAGCCATCGCGGCCCCACGGCGCCAACAAATCCAGCCACAGCGGCCTACCCGACAGCAGCCGAGCCCAGAGCCACAACAGAGCCATCGCGGCCCCACGGCGCCCCAAAGCCAACACAGCGGTCTACCGGTAGCAGCCGAGCCCAAAGCCACAATAGAGCCATCGCGGCCCACGGCGAACCAAAGCCAGCACGGCGGCCTACCGGTAGCAGCCGAGCCCAAAGCCACAACAGAGCCATCGCAGCTGACGGTGCCACCAAAACCGGCAGCAGTCGACCACCAGCGCCAGCGTGGTGGCCGTCCTCACTGTTGACGGCCTTGCCCGAGCCAGCGCGGTGGTCGGTCCCAGAAGAGCCTGCTAAGAGCTCCGGTCCCACCCGAGCCACGATGATGATCGGTTCCAGCAAAGCCTGATAAGAGCTTGCCTCACCCGGCCTCACCCATGCCGGGATGGTGGTCGGTTCCAGCATGGCCCACTAAGCCTCGACCTCGCCCATGCCAGGATGGTGACCTGCTTCACTGAAACTTCCATGGTGGTCTGAGGCCGGAGCCAAAACGGCGGCCGACCCTACCAGAGCCAGCGCAGCTGCCCTTCATCGCTCCCCCCCCCCCCCCCCCCCCCCCCCCCCCCGATGCATCTCAGTCGCCGGCCACACCTGAGCCAGGCCCGGTGGCCGATCTGATATCGCACCGGCCTAAGTCGTCTGATACTTGACCCAACACAGCTGTCGGCCTTTCCCGAGCCAACATTGCGGTCGGCCTCACCAAAGTGAGTCACCATAGCCAGCACCGCTCTCGGCGTTTAAGGAGCTTGGCAAGCGACCGGTCCCGTGAAAGTCAGCAAAATGGTCAGCCTAGAAAATCCTGTACAGAAGCTGGTCATGCCATTCATCTGAGCTGGTCAAATAGCGTGCTCAGATAAATAATTATTCAGAGAAGCTTCCGCTATCGTTATTTTTCTCACCCGACAGGACTGAACGGCACCATGATCACAACGCTACAATAAACGCTCATGTTAGGGCGTTAGGGCATGCATCAAAGACGCTCTGTGATACTTCTAAGTCTGTTTCGACCTTACCAAAACTTCCAAAGATTTGCTGCTACTCAGAGAAGAATAAATGAGTAGAGATATTCACATCTCAAACTTAAAAAGTCGCCCTTTACATAAGAATGGTCCTAATATGTTTCAACGAGTTGGAACCACCCGCCTTCGGGTGGGCGTTTCCAACTTCCATGTTCGATCCTCCAGCTGAATACCTGGACAGTGAGCTACTTTTCGACCCACATTGTCTTCCTTCGCATCGCGCTTTCCGCCTGCTGCTCAGCAATTGCTTTCCCCACAGAAAACTGCTCCATCTCGCTGACTCCTGATCGACGCAAACGATACCTCCGGGCGCCCAACAAACCAATTGTTGTTGTCAAAGTATCTTCTCATATGTCACTGCATATCGTTTTCAACGTCGGAATTTGAAAAAACCTTTGATCATCAAGATCTGTCTGATTCGTACAACTCCGAATGCAATCTTGCCAAATCGGAGCAATGCTGAGGTGCTCGTCTAGGGAGTGACCTTATGATGCTCATGCCGTAGCGTCCAGAACATGCTGTTAGCATTTAAGCACCGTCCATTATTACTCTGCTCTCAGTGTAAAGGCGTTCTAAATCGCTGTCCTTGTCCATCTGCGGTCACGTCAAGGTAGTATTATATTTTGCATCGTTAGTTCTTTTGGGAATTTTGAACCAGATTGCTCTAGAAGGTATTTTTGAGACGTTCTAGCTAATCAGTGTCCCAAACCTCCATGAAGATATTGTCTACATAGTGGCAGTTAGTGTCCGGTTTTATGAAGTCATTTTGTAGTGGGTTGGTTTCTACGTGTCCCATAAATAAATAGGCGAAAAAAGGCTTAAGAGGACAGCTCATCGCAACGGTCTCAATTTTGCAGCACATTCGCCTATCAGGCCCGCGAAAATGAACTTCGCGGGTAAATGCTTCTATTAGTTGTTCAAGATGGCGCCCTGAGATTTTGAGAGAAGTAATTTAAGTATGATCATACACGCGGTCAAGAATGATAGATATGGTTCTTTCAATAGGCACGTTTGTAGATAGATTTTCAACGTCTAGACAGCCTAGCTGGCCCTTTGTTTGACGAGATTGCACAATGTTAATCAACCTATCCGTTGACGATAAGCTGCAGGACATGGGAAGATATGGGGGCAGAAGACCATTAAGACGTTTTGCAATTCCAAAAGTTGGTGAGCGGATATGCAAAATTATTGGACGTTGGCGTAACCACAACGACACTCTCAGGACGCCTGGAAAGACACTAACGTGACGAGGCACCTCTGGAGCACATGCCACACGAACATGACAGAACATTGACACGACAACAACGACCGGACAACGCTGACACTCTTCAGACGTGCAAAGACAGGAGGCGCCTTCGAATTTGGGAAATTGTACTTACAAACGAAATTTCTCCACCTTTTCTCTAGGCAGACAAACCATTTCTTGCAGAACCCTTGAGCTATCAGTTGGTAGGCGGTAAGCACCATATATGTGATTGTGGCAATGTGTGCTGTGTCTTTACAGTGTTTCTGTATGGGTGTATTTTGTCCCCGTAATAAAATATGTTTTCCAGATAGTAATTCACAATTTTCATGCTTAAAAACTGAAAACTTACGTCTTGTGCCAGCTGTATTTTCTGACCATGAGATAAGATCTCTAAACGTAAGAATGTACAGGTCAAGTAACATGTCAGGTTGTACGAAATATCTTTGATCTCAACGATACTGCTAAGACAAAAGTCCGGAAACTCGAACGATGCACGACAAATCTCGTCAATGCGGAGTCACCGGTGGTCTGTATTCAAACACACACACACACACACACACACACACACACACACACACACACACACACACACACACACACACACACACACACACACACACACACACACACACACACACACACACACACACACACACACACACACACACATATATATAATATATATATACTACACACACACACACACACACACACACACACACACAGTGTGTGTGTGTGTGTGTGTGTGTGTGTGTGTGTGTGTGTGTGTGTGTGCGTGTGTGTGTGTGTGTGTGTGTGTGTGTGTGTGTGTGTGTGTGTGTGTGTGTGTGTGTGTGTGTGTGTGTGTGTGTGTGTGTGTGTGTGTGTGTGTGTGTGTGTGTGTGTGTGTGTGTGTGTGTGTGTGTGTGTGTGTGTGTGTGTGTGTGTGTGTGTGTGTGTGTGTGTGTGTGTGTGTGTGTGTGTGTGTGTGTGAAGAAACTATATGCATAGATAGTTTCAACCATACCATATCGAAACCGTATCATAAATAAACCATATCAAGAAACTATATGTATATATATATATATATATATATATATATATATATATATATATATATAAACATGTCGTCTATAATAATGGACGCAAGCAGGTCTCACTAGGGCCACTCGCACTACGCAGACGAGGCGGCCGGCAGAGCAGGCTGTTTGACGGGCGCGGCCTCGGTCGGTAGGACTCTCCGGGGTGTGCTGCGCGGCACTTCCGCCCGTCCCGCGCGCCCAGTCGCGAGGCCCGGCACCGCCGCGGCCACGCCCGGCACGCGTCATCATCACCCCCGCGGGGAACAAGCACTTACGTGATTCCATTTGTAGACGGCACTCTTGGAAGTCGTGCGGGTACATGACAAAGTTCATGGCGCAGGAGAGCGTCAAGGTGAGCCTGCGGAAACGCCACGCAAAATGTCACGTTCACATGCATGCGCAATTGGAGACTTAATGATGATGTGGAAGAGCAATGTTTGACTACGTCCCACAGAGGATTAATTTGTCCCCATCCCAACTCCAGGTCTCAGCAAGCCAATTGATGCTAATGTGACATTTGTAGTGTTTAATACGAAGACGTTAAGTCTATGACGGGTTTTGAACTTTTCCTTTTCTGAAGTTTTCTGATGTTGCATGCGCTCATGCTGTTGGCCAAAACTAAAAACGGCCTGTAATGTGAATACGATGATCTGTTGACGTCATGCGGGAGCTGGGCAGCTGGCAAATCTCGCAGGCATTCACATACGGTGATCAGAAGGCACGATATTGAAATGTGCACTGATGCCGAGGGATCTAAGAGCCAACGGCCGAAAACGAACACCGAACATTATAAGCTGGCCATTGGCAACCATTCACCAGTCACGCTTACTTGACCATGTAGAGGATGGACTTGTCTGCGTAAAGCCACACGTAATGGTTTGGCACCGTCATTGTTTGAAATGTCACCGACTTGGCGTTCTTGAAGAACGAGTCTGGACGCCAGATGTCGTTGAGCCAGTCCAGGTTGAGTAGCCTGCAGGGCATACATGCATACGATTAAAGCTCAAGGCATTGAATCACACATCGGCCACCAAAGAGCGAAAACAGCAATGCCCTCACGCCTCAGATTTAGATAACCTCTCGTCCAGTAAACTATCTGGCGACTTGATTGCATTTGTTTCTGAAACTTCAGCTCGAAACTAACATAGCTCCGTTTTCCGTGTTTTGAAGTCCGAGATGAAGGAATACGTTTGGCAGTCTGTATACTCTATAAAACCGATGAGATTATATGAAAGTTGATGCCTCTCCTTGGTGAATGCCTTTATATGAATGTCAATGCGTTGAGATTTGAAAACTATGACGCAAGGTTTGGTTTTGATTCCGAAAAAGGCCTTTATGACCCGTGTCATTAGTTTAGGTGAAGTTTCTTCATCCGATCACAGTGAAACCTACGACTTCTTTTGTTTTCGTAAGAGGCCGCAACACACAAATACTTGTCTACGAAAGTGTAGCGATTTGTATCTGGGTATACATATACTTCGAATGCTCTCCATGCATCACGTCGATGCGAAACACCGTGTTTAAAACGCTATGTTGACCAGTTTTAAGCATACTTGGTTGATGCAGATCGTGTTTCTGCAGTCATTTAAACATGTGAGACAGATTAATGTCCCCGAGACAAATACAAGAAACGTTGCGTGTAGAAAACTCGATTGCGCATGAGGAAATACCACGTGAACGAAAAAGGCTTTGAGGATGATTTTTAACACTAGAATGATCACTGGTCACTCTCTAACGCTAGCTAATCTCGACATCGGCTTTACGTGACCTAACGATTGAGCCTTCGCACAACTTTTCTAGCACTTTTCAATCTGAGGATAACAGGGGGTAGAAACCTTCCCCTCCCGCTTCCCCTCCCCCTCCCTCTCCCCCACTTCAGCGTGAAATTCGCACGGACTACTGTGAGGGCGCAGGTTAACAGTGTAATCTACGTCAATGCTGCGAGCGATGTCTCTTACACTATTTACAGCGAAACTTTCGAGCACATTCCTATGCGTCAAACTTTGCGGATCGCCACTCGCGACCAGCCGGAGCTGCAATGACGACGTCTAACAACACACTAAACATGTGAGACTTGTACAGCTTGAAGCATGCGCAACTTCCCAAACGCTCGATAGAGGCGTTAGATAGGATCACGGTCATCTTTGTGATAGCAGCACGTACGTAACTAAGCTGTCAGAGAAAATTTTTTGAGTGTTTCCAAGCAAGATCCCAGCATTTCCAGGAATAGCGAATGGATTTAAACTGTCAATCTTTTAGACATTCGCCTGCATCGTGAGCCGAATGGAACATTGCTTGGCAGAACCTTCAATGCTTTTCATGCGACCGCTGAGCTTTGTATGGCCTTCTTATACTGGACGGCGCGGCAGGTGTTCCATGCGGCCCCATCTCGTTCCCGGCACTGTACCACCCGATCTTCCCCTGCTAAGATTATGACATGACGCGCCCCCACCGTTCGGACTTTCAAGGTCATCCTTGTGCGCCTTTCTAGGCCGCGGGTGGTTGTTGGCTCTTTGAGTACGTTTTCGACCGCGAATACCCACGGAAAGAAATCTGAGGGCTCAGATTGCCGAATGCTGGCCGCTTTTTCTCTCTTTCGATGACACTAGTTTTGGCCCACAGCGCTCTCCCAGCCACTGTCAGGGACGTCACATTTGCACCGTGTGTGTCGTCACAACATCCTGCTGACGGCAGTGGTATGACGTGTTCTCAACGGCAGACTTTCGGTCAGCCTGCCCAAAACGAGGATCGCCTTGTGACGTCTAGTCGTCACTGTAAGTGCAGCCCTCGACCTTCCTGAAGTCGGGAGGGAGCAGCAACGCATCGACTGTCGATGGCGCACCAGGCGGTACACTTCTCCCTGTGTAATATCGCTTCATGAACCCAATAGAGTCTCGGCGGAAGAAAGCAGTCATAGTCTTGACGATTAAATTAACCGTCTAGATGAAAAGCGCCTCTTTTCTTAACTAAATATCATGGAGCAACGAAGGGCCGGGTCCGCACTGGCTTAGGTATCAGGAAATGCAGCGCGCGCGAGCATTACGATCGGTCAGTGAGTGTTTCTCACATGAGCTCCCTTTGTATCTGAACAACTTAAGCTTTTGTATTGCCAGCCTAAACGTAGTAGTCCGGCCTGACTTTGCCAGTCACGTTTTGAATATGTTCTTTGCGATACGTTTCTGCACATGATGCAGAATTGAGTTTCTTCATGGCACTTTTTGTGCTTTAAAATGGCATTCGAGGTACATTGGAGCCTCGTCTGATTCTGCTGCGAAGCACTGAATCATTATTTTTATTGTCTCATTTATTGTGCGGGGCAACGTGTCATCAACCATCGCCATCAGGGAATGTTTAAGACATGAAAAGTGAAAAATGAAACGAACAAAAAATGAACAAAATGCAAATTCACTTAAGTGGTGCTGTCATTTTTCAGTCACGCTAGTGTGAAAGAAAATTATCCGTTTTTTTCGGGAACGCACGGTGTATAATAATATTCCAAAAATTATGAATGCCACTTATCATAAGACATGCTTCTTAAGTGCGATTAGATGATAAGCTCTTCTCAACACTTACAACAACGATGGCCTACGCAACGGAAGTTGAGTGAAACAACCTTTTATTACATCAACATCACTACCATCGCACCCCGATGTCTTGCCATTGCAGTTGTAAGTGTTGAGTAACCCTGTCACTGACAGTGGCGGATCTAGAGGGGGTATGGGTCCATATCCCCAATTGGATCGGAGGGGCACGGAAATCTCGTGGTGAAAAACATCGAAATCCTCATTTCAGGTCCACATAACCTTGATTTCAAGGCGGACCAAAGTTTAAGGGTTCCAACAACGGCCCCAAATCTTAAGTTCAACATAACAAATGTAATACAATTGCATCTAAAAGTCAAGTGGATTAAACCTGGCGGATCATTCCAGCGGTAGATATTTTACCGATTAGAAAATACGAATCTGAAGAGGATGTGGCCGAAATCCGGGAGCTTCTTTGCGACCGGAGGAGGGAGGACTAGTTCTAGGGGCACCACAATGAAGCGTGGCCCCTCCCTTGACGACATTCAGGATTCACCCCTGTTCAACGGTGACACAAGACAAGTGCATGTTGTTGCGTCGTCAGCGTTTTCCATGTCCGTGTTTATTTCGGGTGCAAAATGAATGTTTCAATTAACTGGAATGTTCACATTTCAAAATGTTAAGGTAAGCACCAGATATGGTGGAAAAGGCTCTTCATGAATGTTGGTATGCTTTAAAGAGCAGAAGACCAATGAAGATGACCAGTTTTTACGATGTAGCAGATATGCTCCTTAATGTATCATTGTTAAGTAAGTATCTCGGGACGTATTTATAACGCCAGAGTGGTTGACCTGCCGCGCCAGCATTGCCACTGTGGCGAACGGGCTAACCCACTTATAGTATTTCAACTCGCCGGAGGGGATTTGTTAACTTATGCGTATGAAAAAACGACCAGTGTTCTGCGCACATGTTTTGGCCATTGTTCGTAGTGGTCTTGTATATTTCCGTGATGGCATGTCTTCAACATGCATTTTCATTCCCGTTGCGGTGTTGTTCTTAAAATATTCAATTACCAGCCTCGTGCCAGTCATAAGAAGAAGTACTAGCTCAAGATGTCTGTATATGTATCTTGAAGCGTGGTTCGTAATCAATGCTTGCATTTAGTGCGTTAAGCTAGTTGAAAGCCGACTGGTATCCGTTGATGCGACAATTCGTACTCGCGTACTTACGACACGAATAGGCCGATGGGCATATTCGTCTTGACCTTGAACACAATAAGGCTACTGAGGAGGCAGAATTCGTTTGACGTTTCTATGAGGTCAGACATCTCTGGGTAACTTCAATCCGGGCGGTGCGAGAGTCTGTACAAGCGCTTAGCTCATAACAGAGCGGACTCAGGTCTTACGAATGCGTTGCTGTAAACTGCATGGGGTAATCTTGAGAATGGCCATCTTTGCTGAAAACTCCACAAAATGTGTGGAAAAGTCCCTTCAAATGAAGTAATGCGCCGCTCGGATGCGGCAAGGGCGAGGTGGCAGGCGGGGCGGCTACTCAGCATTGCCGCTATTGTCGTGTAACAGAGGAAGGGCGCCGGGTGGAGGCGGAGGGAGACGGGATCCGGCAGACAGTACACACGGGGCAGCGAGAGGCTCCGAAGCGTCGCTCAAGGGGAGGGAGCGGAGGGAGACGGGATCCGGCACCCAGTACACACGAAGCAGCGAGAGGCTCCGAAGCGTCGCTCAAGGAGAGGGGGCGGAGAGAGACGGGATCCGGCACCCAGTACACACGAAGCAGCGAGAGGCTCCGAAGCGTCGCTCAAGGGGAGGGGCGGAGGGAGACGAGATCTGGCACCCAGTACACACGAGGCAGCGAGAGGCTCCGAAGCGTCGCTCAAGGGGAGGGGGCGGAACGCTGACATGCTGACGGCGAGTCGTTGGGTCTCCAGTTAGCTGCACAGGAGCAGGAGCAGCGGGAGGTGGAGCTGCACGCCGTCACCGCCGACTATCTGCAGCCGCGCTAGTCGCTCAGGAAGCAGCGACGCGCCGTCCGTCACCCGCGGAAGTCGCCTCCGCTCGCGAGCTCCCGTCCGGAAGCGGCTTTGGCCGGCGCTCGGGGGGTGGACGGTGACGTCAGCGCCATGGACGGGCGTGATCGCTCTCTGGTGCGCCACGATGGAAGGGCAGGCGCGCGAACCTGTGCTATGCCGGCAGTAAGGTACGGCTGAATCCCCTGCTGGTTCCACCACCGGTCCACCTTGATTTCGAACCTTCATGATGCTTTTTGATTCCGAAATCGATTCCAACATCCGTCATGTGGCTACCCTAAAACATTTGCATCTCGCCAACTCGTTGGGAGTGTTTGCAGATGCTGCAGCTGCTTAATAATCACAAAGATCCGAAAACAGATCCCATTGTTGATAAATAAGATAACTACACACACGAGCCTCCCTCCA